ATTGCATAAACCGGTTTGATCCAAATTAGTTAAATCTGATACTACATTCAACCAGACATATCTCAAACCAGTTTCAGCCATTTGCAAACTGGTTTATGTGCACTGAACATCTGTTCTGTTACAGGTTTAAACCAGTTTCTGATCACTTAAACTGGTTTGTGTGTAATGTCTGTCCCTAGCCATAATGATGCTTATTGCTTTGCAGTAGCATGTAAGAGTCACAGTTGACCATAGGCACTGTACCAACATGGTTTGTGCTCTGCCTTTCGGATTAGCACAGAACTACACAGCCAAAAAAGCTAGGGAAAGAGATCAGGATCCAGAAAGAGTAACACTGATTGCACTGTTTACCATACTTACCCATATCCAAGACAAACCAAGGCTTTTTTCCCCCATTCAACATAGGGAAAAAGAACCCTTGTCTTATATTTGAATATGGTTCGGGACAAAAGGCTGCTACAGCTCTGGCGCCAGCTCTGACTCTGACCCCAGAGAGACTGCATGCTGCAGGGGATGGGAACAGAGAGAGACCACATGGTATGCAGCACAGGGGAAATAGCAGGGTGCAGCCCAAGGGAAGCACACTGGAGACCATGCAGCGGCAGAAGAGTTGCCACTGCCACCACTGCTGCCTGGCTAGGGCTGGAGCAGGAGCCATATATGCTGTGCCCACAACTGGAGCCAGAGCTGTTGCACTGGGTAAAGAGCAGCAGGAATAGGGAAGCAGACACCGGGGAGGAGCAGGGGGAGCAAGTAGCAGGGGAAGAAGGCACCAGAGGGGCAAGTGGCCAGGGGGAAGGGTCAGGCAGCAGGCACTAGGGAAAGGCATTTGTTGGGGAGGGGTGCAAATGGCAGGGAGGCAGGTGCAGGGAGGGCAAGTGGTGTGGGGGGGCAGGCAGGTGGGCATGGGGCAGGCTGTTTCTGTGCCCTCCCCCCCACCGCTGTTTTCCCTACCATGGAGGGAATAAGGTATAAATGCAGTCTGACCCTCCAGTAATTAGATTCTAGACATGAAAAAGTATATCAGAGTTACACTTTTCCACATCTGGAATTTAATAATTAGGAAATCATCTTGCATTCGAAGTTGTGTTGGATTCAGGTAAATGCAGTTGGTTTTTTTGCGACATTGGTATCCATTTTATTAGCTGAATAACATCCTTGGGCCGGTGCTGTTCAACATCTTCATTAGGAACCTGGACAAGGGTGTGGAGAGCA